ATAGACCAAATACTTTAATAATTTAATATGTGTGAGATGCACGTTAATGTACTTTAAAAATACGGAAAGCGGTGTACAGTCGTGTATAAATTTTGAATCACTGATACTACAAAATATATAGCATTCATTCTTTTAAGATTAAAAATGTAATATACTTAAATACTACTAAATCTTTGAACGTAACAAATACTTTTGTTATTATAATTAAACTATCATATTTCAAATTAATATTATAATAATTACAGAATTTTTTAATTATATTATTTCACTATATGTGTGTATAAGTAAAATAAATTAATTTATTTTTATTAATTATAATAATTAATATAATATTAATTTATTTTTATTCAGTATACCATATTAATAAAATATGACGAGTACTAATTTTAAAGTTGAGTGTATTTGAAGCAGATACACTTGACCGATTTTTGCGTCTCTCGACCGGAATAGTCATCAGATCCAAGAATTGATATATTCGAATATACATTTTTTCCTCTCGTGATTGTGTTCGATAGCCATCCATTAGAGTATCAATGCATCTCGAAAAATCACAAACGTTTCATTCGCAGGACGCTGCTTGGAAAGCGACATTTAGTATTGCGACTGCAACGTCAATTTAATTTCCGCAGCCATTCAATATTCTCTTTTTCGTACGATTGTTCAGCTTTTCGGTGATGCATCAGTTTCTAGATCATTGATGCGCCACGAAAGTTTTGCACAAAGCATCGATCGCGTACCATACATATTCGCAATTTTTGTAAAATGTTAATCAAATTCATATTGTATTCATATCTCAAAAATCTTAGTTATATATAGATAAAAATTGATAAAATAATAATTTGTTGAATAATTTGAATTAACTACAATATATATCTTTGTATGATTTTCGATCGAGGTATGACGAAATCTGTGGGCAACATATTAGTTTCTTAACCGACAATTTCGTACAAACATTCAAACGTTCGTGTTTTATTTATAATCGGATGCATTATCCAAGCAGAAATAACAATATATCGATTGTAATTCGATTTCTGGCTTGTCGTGCACAGTTAACTTCTGATTTGTGGCCTACAACTTTCGACGGAACATGATTGGATTCTGCGCGTTGATATAAATCGTAAATCCTAGAAACGAATTTTCGCAGTGGCGGATTCTCGATGGTGAAAACTTCCTTCCGACTCGATAACTCGTTGACGATCGTTCCCCGATAAAGAAAAATCGCCCCGTCAACTCGTCGTGAAGCTCCGGCTTTCTCGTCGAGTTTACCGTTTATCCCCGCAATCGAAATTTTTACAAAGCACGCACGATCACCTCTAATCTAGCAATAGAACATATCCGCCAGTTTTTATCGATATTCCAAGCAAAACGAAGTCTAAAAATTGTTCAGAAAATATCGGATCGTTTAACGACGCGACATTCTTATCGCCATCGACTAAGCGTTGAGGGCGTTAATTATTTACGCCTGTGGATCACGCGGTTTTTAATTATCATAGTTAACAACGTTTTGAGCAACTTTCGTGTCGAAAATTTGATATACTGTACTTTCGAGACTGAATGTGAATTATGGATGTTGTACGAATAATACTTGTGACACAAATACTATTTTTTTTTTTTCTTTCATTAAATTATTAATGTAAAGTGTATAACATGCACATATTTGTATATTTATAATATTTTTCAATATAATAACAATCTAGAATATCCTTTTTCATTGATTACACAGGCCCACAAAAAAATTGTTATTTTTTGTGCGATGAATGCTATTATGATATTCCCATGTATTTTTTCCCGCTGAAACCGAATCCGTAACCCGTTTGACTCCTACACGTCAGGATTTTTTTTTAATCTAAAAAAACGGTAAGAGTACCGATTAGGGAACCTTCCCCCAATGACCTTGATAACATATGTCAAGGTCAATGTCATTGGGGGAAGGTTCCCTAATCGGTACTCTTACCGTTTTTTTGAGATTAAAAAAAATCCTGACGTATAGGAGTCAAACGGGTTACGGATTCGGTTTCAGCGGGAAAAAATACATGGGAATATCATAGTAGCATTCATCGCACAAAAAATAACAATTTTTTTGTGGGCCTGTGTTATTAGCGTTTTCGCGAAACTTTGCGATGACCTTATTTATTATATATTAAAAATAACAAAAACACACTTGCAGTTTAATGAAATAATACATGTATATATAATATAATATTAACAACAAGAATCCATATAATTATTCATTAAAGTAAGTTTCTAAAGTAGATACATGATCATCGTCGTTGACCTTAAACAAAGCCGGAGATTCAACATGCATCCAGAATCCACATACAGCCCCGTGTACCCTATCCCCAACTGTTTACATATGCAGCCGGAGAACCTCCCTATAGCTTCTAGTTTCGGCAGTGCTGATAGCTCACCGAATATCCTACCTCCTTGGAAGGACGCAGAGTGCTTATGAAGCGTGGAGGAAGGTTCAGAATGTAAGAAAGCTGGACAGAAGGATGTTAAAGAGGTCGAAAAACAAAAGAGATGCAGACTGACAGAAGGAAAGACTTAGAAAGACAGAAAAGGAGGTAGAGAGGAACAGAAAGATCATATGCTTTCGTGCATTTGAGTGAGTGAGCTAGAAAAAGAGGAAAAAGAAGAGAAAGAGAGATAGAGGAATAGGAGAAGAACTAGAAGGCGAGAGAAAAACTGTTCTCTCCCTTCTCCCCTGGAACACGTTGGAGCCAAAATCCGTCGATCAAAATCGACGACGTGGCAAGTGTCTAAAGTGAACAACAAGCAGCTCCATCAGATGTCAATATTATAAGTTACGCGAGGCAATTTTTTCCAGGAGAGGCAGGGCGTGAGACCGGGCGAGTCGGATCTCGCTAATGGCAGTTGGCTCCCTGTTATATTTTTGTCTCGTACAAAAAGTTCACGTGGAAAATTACACATGCGAATATGGGACGCTGTCACGTATGGCGGGCCTCGACTGGAACGTTAAGCAGAATTGAGCAGAATAGATCGCATTACATTTGATCAGATCTTTTTTCGAGTCGGCAGTTAAAACTTCGAGACAAGTTTGATTTGAATTCTGAAAGAAAATTTAATGCGTGCAAATATAATATGCACTTGAATCATCATAAAACTAAAAGAAAGTATATAGAATAAGATATGTAGCTAAGTTCTTATTGAGGTTGTATCTTTAATACTGAGAGTAGTAGCATAAATTATAAGCAAAATGTTATTTAATCTATGGATAACTTAACAACAAATTTTTTGTATTAATTAAATAAAACATAATCTCAATTAGCTATCTTTATTAATTAAATAGTGATAAAAATGCGAATGTGGATTTAAGGTGCTTTGTGATGTCCTTACGACTGCTTTCAGTAAAGGTCAAGCAGAGTTCTAGAATACATTTATCAAAATATTGGTTGTTTACCCATTTCTGCTTCGTTCAACGTGAGGGAAGAGGATACCACGGGATCGTAATGCCATTGCTTTTAAGATCGTACGTAACTCCGCGAAGTATAATAAATATGTTTTGCATATATTTACAAGCGTCTGTAGAATTACAGCTGTAATTGCAGCAATTTTATGAGACAGAAAAATCTCGAAAAGTAATGAACTCTTGATTTCCGTGCATTGTATTAAATCCTAAATAACAATTATTAATGAATAAAAAATAAATTATATCTATGTTTTATTTATTAGTTGTAGATTATAATACATTTACATTTCCTTCTACTTGTTCCATTGTAAGGCAAACAATGCAATAAATAATGCAAATTTAATGTGCATTATTTTGGGAAGAAAGATAGAGTATAAGCTAACAGGTCGAGCTACAGATAAAAAAAATCATGTTTCCTCATGTCTACCGAGAAATTTGCAATGTTAAATTTCCCCCAGGATTTACGACAATGATATCATAAAATTATTATATGAAGCTTCCCGCAAACTTCTGCTCTGTCTAATACATACAGTTCCGTTGAAATTTCTTTTAGCACGTAATTCATATATTTTTTAATACGAAAAAGTTGGAAAAAATTTACACACGAATATCCAGCTTAATTGGCATTAACTTTTTACTTGATTTATAATTGACTGAGTTTCTGATATAAAAGTATTGTAAAAATTACTGGTGAGAAAAGAAAAAATCTTTTTAATAGTCTAAATATATGACACTTTTTATGTCAAATTTCTTCAAAAAGTAGCGCTTTCAACAGGAAATCGAGAGTTCATCATGCAATCGGTAACAGTGCTGTGCACTTCCTGCCTCGTAGCCGTTTAATTCCATTTCCCGTCCCATCCTCATCGTGATAAACTTCTATCAGTCGAAGCCACCATTGACACTCCTCACGAGTGGAGTGTTGTTACGTTACAAGCGTCCGGACGTTTCATGTCGACTATGAGAGACTCGCTTTCTTGCACGATACAAACGAATTAGGCCAAGTCTAACGGCGTGTTAACGAGAAAATCGCATTTCCCTGATCACGAGGAACGCTCTAACGGAGTCACGAAGTCCTCAGACTCGATGTGTCCATCATCTAAAACACATCATTCGTTTTTGTCCCAGGAAGAGAAGGACAGATGATACTCTAGCATTGATAATTCTTCAGATCTCTTCTCGAGACAATTAGCACCGGGAGAGGAAGCACAATCCTCCTCCTTGTTCCCTTCCCTTTTTTCAATTTTTACGCGTAACACCTTCTCTTTACGCATCACAAGTACATTAGAATTTCACGGATCACAAGACTGCGTCAGGCACACGAGATCCGCGCGGCTACTCGCGTCGACAATCCTGGTGACCCGGAGTCATAGGATTGATCTGCGAGCCGTCGCGGAATCAAACGCGACCTGCTGTCATCATGAACACCTGCCCGCTTCCGGTACGCGATGTATCGCCGCCGGGACGCGTTGCGTCGTCGCGTTGCTAACCCATAACGTCGACGTCGTCGTTGGGACGACGTTTGCTGCTGCTGATAGCAGCCGATCCGCCTCCGCGCCAAATTCATTCCGACTGTTCGTCAAGGCAGGCCAGCTGGCGATCAACTCTTGCCAGCCAGGCACGCTGGTCAGGTAGGCTAGAAGGAGTAGTATGAGGCACCCACCTAGGCACCCGTTGCCTCCGGCTTCGAAGGCGGCACAACCGCTCGTCTGGTTCTCCGTTGTTGGCCTCTGCACTTCTGGATGTGAGACTCGATCCATCTTTCGGCTACCTGTCCATGGATCGCCCTCGGTGTCCACAGTGTTGTGTCGAACGTCCGAAGGTGCGTTGTTGACTTCTTCATGGACCACTGGTGGCAGCGGCTTGTCCTTGTCTAGCTCATCATCCACTTCCACTGAGGTGTCCGTACCGAAAAACACAAGCTTCCACTCCTCCAGTGTGTCTGAAACAATAACCCCATTTATGTTAACACGATTCTAATAATACAATAAACGATTTTGTTGAAATGTCTACAAATTTAGCTAAATACAGATTTAAAAATAATTATGTTGAAGTGGTTAAAATAATTATGTAGGAGAATTTCAAACATGATAAGCAATGCTGTCAAAAAGTTTTGACATTTTAGCAAGTTTCAGCGTCCTCCATTATTATTTTGATACTTTAACAAAATTATTTTTACATCTGCATATAGCTAAATTTTTAGTTACTTCAGCAAAGTCGTCTTCTTCGTGTAGCTAATGAGTTCATGTCAAATAAGTGTGCGAAACACTTTGAAAAGTGACCAACATAGATTTTCAAAGTATTGGAGACAGAAAGAAGTTACAAGAAAGGTGTGGCATATATAAAAAAAGTAAAGAAAATAATTAAAATAGTTATCGAAATTTTGTATGCTGAAACCATTCTTTTGCAACATTCTTGTTTCTTCGTATTATTCTTCTATTTGATATTTGAAAATTCTTCTGCCTCTAATACTCTTTAAATAATTGTAATTTTTTGACAAACCTCTAATATACATATATGCGATACTAATATAAAATTCAAAAAATGCAAGCGTGCCACAATTTTATCTTTACTCTGTAAGCGTAAATGGATTGAAAATAACGTATTCATCTCCTATATATAGCAATTACACAATGACAACTACTGTCTACTGTCATTTTTACATTAAATACACACATGCAGACACGATTGCAATCAACCCTAGTGGATTTTACGTATCGTAATATACGTACCGTGGATTCCTGAGAAAAGAAACATAAATTTGCAGATCTCGCAGAGCTATTTTTTATGGACGAGGTTCTGATGGAAACGGAGTTAAAATTATCTCCGGATAATATAAAAATATTAATAACGTTTTATGTATAATAATGGCAAAGTGCATATTTTTTAAGACACAAACCTTGTGATATTCATATTAATAAAGAAGCTCGCAGAGAAGCAAAATCCTAATTATTGAACGTATCTTCAATTTTTCATTTGCCTGTTGAATAACGTGCTTTTCACTTTCTCGCAATTTATTCTGCGACCTTGCCCGCAAATATAACGTAAATGTTGTATTTCGTAGGGAAGAGTGAAGGCGGTAAAATGAAAGGTTTTGCGAGGTAGACGAGACGCAAGCGAGACAGCGGAAGGAGTGGCGGAGACGTCGTCGGCGCCGTCCAGGAAATTAATAAAGCGTCGCGATGCCGTGGGGAAAATTTCGTCCTAAGCTGGCTCGCGGGAACAATGTCCGCGATAGACGGGAAGCGCGCGCGGGGGAGGAAGGGTCGAGGCTTGATTAAATTAGAGTTAAAAATAACCGAGTAATCAGCGACGACTCTCCGCGCACATTCACTCAGCACAATGTGTACGCTGGAATTAAATGCAAAGTGCTTTGCAACGAGAGAATAGTAAAAACTCGTGGACGATTATCGTTTTTACTTCGGGTAAGATACATCTGCGAGTTCCTTGCGCTGCGGACAAGACGAAAAAGCTAGCTAAATGGAAGCTAATTTTAAATATCATGTTCTTCTCAGCCAGATATTAAGAGCTCAGAAGATTATTTGATACTCAACCACTGGTTTGAACCACGCCACAATTTAACAAGATTTACATATTAATCAAGAAATAAATTTAAAGAATTGATTGAAAATAAAACATCATGCTTAATAATTATCGATAAATAATAAACATAAATTTTAACATTACTCTCGAAGTATTTATTATTTCCTGTTCCATTTACGATGAAACCTTAAGAAATAAATTTACTTTCCTAGACGTCCATATTAAATTATATCTTGTTTACGTACAAGGCTTACGTACAAAGTTTACGTACAAATAGTAAAGTTAAAATGTACATACAGCTTCAGATGAAATCAATCCCGTGGGAAAAGCTGAATTTCACAAGCGGAGAGAGTTGTGATGGGATACCAGAAATCAAAGCAGTGGAAAAGCGGATCCAATTTGTCGTGACGGGACTACTCTCGTGTGTGCTTTTTTGGCTGGCTTCCGTGAACTACCGACTGCCAGCTATAATAAAATAATCGTTAAAATGTTCGCTGTTACGAGTGCGCAAGGTAGCTGTAAAGTGACAAGCGTCGCGACGCTCGGACAGCTCCCTCGCTTTTACGAGAAGTATCGAGAAAATAACTTGTAACCGAAGGTTGAGGGAAATGAGCTGGGGGATGAGATGGGAGAGAAACAAAAAATGTCAAAAGTCGATTGGGACGATGTGGCAGGCTATTCGTAAGACAATGGAAATATAAGGGCATTGTGTTCGATAGGTCGTTAGCGTGCACTATTGGAGGAGAGAAATCTCCGATAATAATGCCTTGAGAGCGAGAACCATTTTGCGGAGTAAGCGAGTGAAAAAATTTCCAATCATGGAGGAAATTATTTAGCAGCGATGATGGACGAGAGGAGCCGCTTGGACTCCACCATGATGGGGTTCGTTTCGCTCTCGTCGGCTTTTCCATTTCACGGCACGCATTAGCGGTTTTCAGTGCCGTTCGCGTCGTCGCGTTTCACTGCATTTTGAGCGATTTGCGGTTACGCGGTGATCTAGAATTCGAGAATTCGAAAAGGAGATAACAAGCGCAACACGCAATGATGAATACCATTTGCGAGATTTACAAATTTGCGCCATTGATGCTTTAAATTTTAAAGTATAAAAATAATTTTCATATTATTAATTTATTTAAGATATTTAAATTAAGGTATATGATAATAATAAAAAAAAATATATACTACAAAACAAATAAAATAGAAAAAATATAAGGTATTATATATGTATATACATATATATGAAGGAATATAAATTTCTCAAATATTTTACGTATCTCTTTCAATTGTTTTTTAATGACAAATAAAACAAATATAACAATGCTAATGAAATATTTAAAACAATTTTTAACTCATATGTGCTTCTCACGAGCACAAATTTCTCGTGCAAAAGACAATAGTATTCGTATCGAGTGTGAGAATAATAGAATACAAGGCGATACATGCTGGCAATACATTAGATAGCCGGCGCATATAGATGCGGTTGAAGCTACACATGAAACTCATCGATAACTAAGTCATTGAAAGTTTTGTGATTGAAGGCCACAGCGCCCCCGATAAGTTTTCCTATTATCGAGCCTGCCGTTCACGCAAGAGGCTTCGAATAACAACAGGAAGGAGAGCGAAGCGTCAACATGACGAAAAATCTGACACTTGACACAAAGAGCGATAAAACTGTCCAAAATATGGAAATACTACTTATACTTACAAAGGAGCTTCCTGGAAGTTTAGTGGATGCGATGACAAATAGCTTTACGATGTAAGAATAGATATTTTATAAATTTATATAAAAACATAATACATCGAACAATTTTCTTAAATAATTTACAGTAACTACACAAAAAACTAGCATGATTCTCTCAGTACGTGAAAACTAAATGCAGTAATACAAGCAAAAAATTTGTTTCAAATAAAAATATATTTATATATATTTTTATTCGTGTATATTAATCATGCAAATACATAATTTACTTAATAAAATTTCATTTATAGCATTATCTAGATTCATCTAACAAAAACTTTAACGAGAGTTGCTAAAGATAACACTTTACACAAAATATCGTATAAAATATTTTGTATAAAGTATTCTAGCAAAAATGTCGTAGACAAAATAAAGTTTCGCGGAAAACGTCGAGAACTCTCATTTTAGAAAGGAGAGCATTATGCAAAAGAAAGTTCCATCATACTTACAACAGAAGATACATAAGAATCACGTCAAATATTCTAAACTTAAACAAAAAGAAACATGAATAATGCGAAATAAGCTCGTCTACAGTATTGCATATTAATAGCCAGGAATAATGTGTCTATGTATACAAACAAAAGTAACGGTGATTACGATGTGGTCGCAATCAGTGAAACAGCTAATACAAAAGAGAAAATACGAAAACCAAATTCCAGCGGATCCGTTTAATCTTCGGGGCTTTGCGCACGATGCATCTCTACTTTCCACACTTCACGTGGGTGCGCGAGCGGATGCGTGGAAGCGAATGGGAAACGATCGGAAGCTGTGCGAAACGACCTTCTTTGTTGTCCCGCGGTATAAAATACCGCCGTTGGGAACACAATAGAGCAGATAGATTGACGTTATTAGTCACCGCGATTATCTGTGCGCGCGACATTGCATTTTTTCGTAGCATTTTAATCAAGCAAATAATGCAAATGATTATATTTGATTACGTATATATAGATATTGATATTTACAGTCTTTACTTCTAATTCAATTATCGAGCATGTAAGACATATTTTTTATTTATGCTATTTTAAAATGACAAAAATATCTCTTAACTAATTGTATGGAAGTCATAATGGGAAAGTGCTCGTATTTTATTACACAATTAAACAGATTTTATTTCTACGTTTGATTTATTTTAATTAAATTCAAATTAAAATTATACTTTCTGCTGCTGCAGATTTTATTTGAATATTTAATTTAATTCAATATTATTAAAAAATTCAAATTAATTAAATTAAAATTAAAATGAATTGACTTTGTAAAAATCTTATGATATTTTCTTCTTATCTTATGATAAATATAATAACTTCCGATCGTCGCCATTAAGCAACCAGCACATTCGCCGTTTTTAATTCGTTAGATACCCTTGTCCAGTTGTAGATTCCTTGGGTCAAATTGCTCGTCCTGCAGCAGGTCGAGTCCTTTGGCCCTTGTGGCGTGCTGACCGGTACCGCGAGCTCCACCGTAAACTGGATAAAGCTGTTGAATCTTGGGATACTGTTGAAATACCGCCGGGACCTTGTTAGTGGCCGCCTTTGCCGGTGGTTCCAACAAGATCAGTCCCCGCTGAAGGGGTGAGGCGGTAACCACGTCGATGATCTTCTGTGTAATAATTTGTTTACTTGTCACGGTGGTCTGCGCCTTTGTTGTCGTAACGGCCTGGGTCACGGTGCTGGTAATAGGGCTGGGTGTACTTCTCCCACGTGGTCTCGACGTGATCAAACGCACGTCACTGACTATGTTGTTGGACCCTTTATTGATTCCGGTGAGACCCCGAAGAGTCTGAACGGTAGGCTTGGGATTCGGCCGATTAGCCGACTTGCCGTTCTTGTACTGACCGCGGGCCTTACCCTTCCTCTGGGACTGAATCTGAGTGTTTATTACGTAGGAAGGGCTCATATTGCCGGACTTGTCAGATTTGTGCTGCGTCTGCTTGCCTTTTGCCAAGGTATTCTGGTTCTTCGGAATGGTCTCGCGTGGCTTAACGAACGGTCGTCTAGGTATATTTATACCGGCCGGATTGTAAAGGGCGTATTCGGTCCGGTCGGGCAGCGTTGCGGTACCGTAGAAAATCAACGCCCATTCGTGCAGAGTAGCGCGTCCTGATCCGGTATGCGTCCGTAAATTCAGCGAAAAGAAAGCGGACGTCATGGTTAAAGAAAGACAGAAATACAATGCAATGCTTACTGGCGCGTTAAACAACGCAGTACATAATAATACAGTATGTCAAAAGTTGGCCGGAGTTGAAGGGTTAAATATTGGCCAGAAATTCGTTATTAAATGTCGGTAGTTCAATAGAGTTGTAATACGCGTGATTCTCAGCGAGCCTTCTCACTAACTAAAGGAAACTCCTTTAAGAGGAAGTTAACGAGAACGTCAGAGAATTATCCTTCTCGGAGGTCTCTGTTCGATGGCACATCAGCGTTACATTCAGAGACTGCATTCAGGTACGTCCACGGAATACTTGTGGCAGTATAAACACTGGATACATAATTTAACAGTGTCTCGAATATTCCTGCGACTCTCGCGTCTCTGGCACACAATTCGCGATAATGAATGTGGATGCGCTACAGCGATATAGGTCGACGGTGCATAAGCACATAAGGAAGTTTATGTAGCCATCGGCCTTGATGAGCCGACACGGAAGCAGTTCGAAGTAGCTTAACGCTTGCATCGGCTGCTTTCGTTGCTCCATGACCTCGCTGCTATTTGCCGTTAAGGATGAGTAGGAGAGCTTGCAAGAGGACTTCGCAGCTCGAATCTGGCAATTATCTGCGTCTGAAGATAATGCAGCTTCTTAGGCGATTGCACGCGAATGGGTCTTATGTAAGAGCTCCCTTGGTTGCGTCTCAGACAGGAGGCTATGAGAATGCGGTGGATCTCGAAGGATCTCGCGGGGCTGAACACCAACTCGGCATCGGATCGCAGGATGCGCATGCAATGCTAGACATGTCTAAGCCATTCCGCCCGGATGTCACGCGTAGAAATCAGTTAATCCTTTGTCATATGGTTTACAATTGTTCGAGAAGTAATGAAAATCGCGAGAACATCACGGATAATTGTTGCGTTTTGAAACAAATTTCTTGTATACAATATTTTTTCCAGTATAAGTCAGAAATAAATGTTAATATCGTGAATTTCTTGCGAGCATTTTCGACTGGGAGATGCAACTGACAGGGAACTTGGTAACCGTGACCTTATGAAGGCGTTACTGAGACGCTTGGAAACTATTGTTACGGCGAGCAAGATAGAATTCTATTTGAAATTTAAATCGACCGAAGGGCATCTTCGAATGCAGGAGCTAATGTCGGCATAATCTACAAAGCGCTTTGTCTTTGACGTTTAAGTTTAAGATTTCGCGTAATGGTCTTTGAATAAATGTCAGTTAAATTTGTATTTCATATATTCCAAATAACAATTGAAAGAAATCCTATTCAAAGAAATTAGGAAGAGCTGAATGAAACTTTAATATTGAATATATTAAAATATTTTTAGTTATTTCGTTAAGTATAGTCTAATTAATAAAATTAATCTTTGTATATCTCTAAAAGGATTGAGATCTGACACTTTTATATTGGAAAATGCATAATTTTTTGCACTGAATAATTGTATAAGTCTAACTAATTTAAAACGGCCTTTAGATTTTGTTAGAAATTAGAAAAGAGTTATGTTAAGATGAATGCAATTTTTCTGATGTTAAAAAAAAAAATAATAATTTTAATATTTGTTTTTTATTGGAAATTACTTAAAGCTAAATAGTTTGACAATTAAGCGGATTAATTTTATCTAATTATTATAAATAATTTAACTAATTTCAGTTAATTTAATTTAATTGTAGGAATAACTAGTTACAGCGATGAAAAATCATGGCATATTAAAGACAATTTCAATTACTGATCACAAAGTAATTTCAGTTAATTTAATTTGACTGATAAGATTTAGTTACGATAAAAAGTCATGGCATATACTATATGTATAATATTAAAGACAGTCTCAATTATTGATCCAATTAATATTGTACTAGATCGTTCGTCAAACGATTGTTAATCAAACATTCTCCATTGATTATGCGATAACGCGGAATATAAGATGTAATCCACTTACCAAGGTATCGACCCTCATTGTGAATTTCTAATTTCCAAGTACCGTGCGGCCTCTCTCCCCACGTATGGACTGACATGAATGGCCATTGGCTAAAGCCGGCCTTCGAGATGTCGTGCGGCCTTTTAGCGAGAAGAGTGCTCTTCGTACCTTGAGGAGACGTTAGCTGTATCTGAAGATCTCCTCGTCTCGCTGCCATCAGCGATACTTTCGCCTGCGACAAGTGTATCATTATGCCATTATCACTAATCACGTATATTTTTTTACTGTCAACGTTTACGATTTTCTACACACATCTTTGTGCAAATAAACTTAAACTTCCAAATTAGTGTCTTTCATAATATTTTTATTATTAATTTTAAATATTTAATAATTTTTTAATAATTAAGTAATCCAAAAAAAGAAAAAAGTCAATATAAATTTTACGAAATAATTTTGCGCTATATAACTGTATAATTTTATAAGAGTAATTCATTTAATTCATTCGGTTTCTTCAACACGAGATTTGAACTGGATCTAGTAATTACATTTCGCCAGCAGAAGCAGTCATTAATATACTTTAAGTTAATTTCCTGAGGATTAAATAACTATTTAGCATGAATTACAGTTTGTTTTTAGTTTTCCATAGACAGTATAAAACGATGACAAATAAATTAGTTTATTCAAATGAAAAGTAAATAAAATTCTACCACTTCAACACCAGCTGGTGAAACATTTTATTCTCGAAATGTAGTCCGAGTTTGTGCTTCTCGTAGCCGACATGAAATCTGCTAATTAGCGATGTCACTTGTGAATGACATGCTCAACTTACCTGAACATGCTCGAGGAAATTAACGCCGCTGCAATCCTTGACATGTAAGTCGAGGACCAATTGGCTCTTTGGTGGTATCGTCCTAAAAAGTATACAAAAAAATTTGGGTCAAATGTCAAGCCTGCGCATACAATTTTGTCGCAGATATTTTTAAGTAGATATACCCTTTTATTGTTTAAATCATTGCTCGAGAAATTCGGTCAATTATGCATTATTTGTTAAATACTTTTATACCTCTTGAGTTGTGTTATTTCTCGAAAGAGCCTTTAGTAATAACTTGATATCTTTGTAGTAAGACATAACTCGATATTGTTATTTTATTTTACATTTTTCAATGAAAATAGTTCTTATATATATAAGAATAATATATTAAACTCAATAACTATTTTGTCTAAAGGGTAGGATTTTAAAAAAAAGCACGATTGTATATTTGTTTTTAAACATTGAATATTATTCTAAAATAACAAATATGAATCATATTAATAATATTGTACTATTCGTTTATTAAAAGCATGAAATTTTCAAAATTATTGTGTATATAAAATTTTGACTACGGCTTTTATATTTAGTGACTTTAGAGAAGTGCAACTTCAAATGATTACATTTTAAGTTATGTAAACGCTCGTTCAACGCAACGTGCAATTTGTTTTCATTCGTTACAATCCTTGACAATGTAAATGGCGCATTACACGTGATTTCCAGTGCAATTTCATACGAGTAAAGTCCGCTTGACGGTAGCCGACATGCTCGAACGAATCTGTAATCTGCGAGAGACACGTTCATTCCCCCAAGGGGCAGGTAGCGATCTATAGTATCTACATATATGGTCGAATCAAATTCCGATTTCTCTCACCTTCGAGCATTTTTCTTAAAACCGATAATTTTTTTGTATAATGTCGCATTTTTTCCTTCGCATATCCATAATAAATTCTCTTTTATTCAAGATTTTGCCTTGAAAGAAGAGAGAACTTTTAAAATCCTTATTATTTATTTAATAACAACTTGAGAACACTTACCTGCCTGTATGTGGCGCTGATACTTCACATCTGTGTTGCTCTGGGACGGTCCTCCATCTTCTCGCTAAGCGCACCATGGCAGTGGCGTCCATCAATCCGTAACCAAAGCTGTGGCTTACTGTTAAACAGAAATCAAATCGCAACAATGAAATAATTTTTATCCATTTTTTTTATTAATAAATTTCATTTTCTAGATCAGAATTCTATATTTATTCATTAAATGAATCTGACAGATTGATTAAAATATTATGTGATAGAAATAATATTAATAAATTATAATAATGTCATATTTATTCTGTAAAAAGTTAAAACTTTTATGATTCAATTTGAATACATAACCAATAATTTATTCCTCTCGAAAATCATGCGCGTTTAATCTTTAAGAAATGTTTTTTCTCTCTATCAAGAATGAATTGATGATTAGTCACCATTTCTACCGACGCCATTGACTACCCAATCGGGTGCTTGCAAGTTCGCAGGTTTAGCTGTTCTGACTACGATGTGTTGCATATCCCTCCAGGTAAGATCTCTGTTTGCTTCCAGAGCGAGGGCGCAAATGCCTGCTGCTAACGGCGCCGATGCGGAGGTGCCGGTGTGGCTGTTGGTACAGTGATGATGTAAATCAGTAGTGATGACCTGTTTCTCGCCGGTAGAACCAGAGCTGTATGTAGTGGCGAGAGTGGATGAGCACGCCTCGCTGTACCAAGGCACAAGGCCGTTCTCTGTTGCACTACTGATCGACAGCGTCCAGATACTATTGGTATATCCGTCACAATTGCAGTTATCATGGTCTCGGCCACCGTTTCCGGACGCCCACACGAAGATCGAACCCTTACCGTTGCGACCCTGATGATGTTTGATTAAAGTTCTTTTATAATTTACTTAATGAAAGAAGATGCTGTGTATATGTATATTGAACTGTGTATATAGCTAAAGATATTTTGAAAACAAAGCGGTGAGATTTAACAAGTATGGTGCTTTAAACTTAGAGTCTTAAAAACATAGAACAGCAAATTTATAAAATGTTTAGGAATGGTTATCTTGGTTTTAAAACCGTTTAAAGTTACTTTAATTCTCGTACGATCATAGATGAACATTTGGAAAAATAGCCGTAAAATCGAATCTTTTCTCCGAATATACTTTTTTTTATTATTTTTATTATTATTTTGTCATGTATTTAAGAATGTATAATATGAATTAATAAAATTTATTTTAGCAATAAAACTGGATTAATTATATATGAAAAATATTTTACATGAGGTAAAGAAACGTTTTAAAGTGGCTTTTATATAGAGATTTTAAATATAATCGTTCTTTTTAATGTTTCCTACACGGACACATTTGTAACCGTTTCTCAACGTTACGGAAAAACGTTTCTTCAAGTTTCTCAACGCTTTTGTTCTACTTGGAGTAAATCTGGATATACTACTTTGGATAATACTCTAGACGCGGTTGACTTTTTACTGGTACTTGGCTTTAAGATGTTCAAAACGCTTAAGGCGCTTTAGAAGTTTTGAGACACTTTGCATGTTAAAGCTGCTTTCTGTGCGCCCGTAGACACACAATAGTAGATGATTCGTAGTGAAACCATTGTTGGGAAGTCGATGAGTGTTTAGCGTTAATGGTTCCCTCGTAAGGTCGAGGCTGAATTGTGTGTCTTAAGCTCTCATAACGAGAAACGTTCCTACATTTTGTATACAGCCCCATTAAAAGACGAAAGGGAGACTTTTGGTAATTGAGTCTCTAATCTTTTAGTATGATAACATGCAAAGGGATGATTGATTCACACAACGCGTGCCTGCGGTTACTTGGAATAGATTCTAAGAATTTTTCAAGAAATTAATTTCAAGTTAATCACTATTGCGAATATAATTGCAATAAATTCTGCAGTTTAAATATCGATTCATTATCGTGTTATACATGCAGATGTTATCATTACGTTAAATCATGAATCTTTGTGAATATACCGTGAGTATATTTATGTTGAATATTATGTATACCGCAAGATATATTGCCTAATTTATAGAATTTTACACACTCTTTATCAAGTCTGTCCAGCTAGCTCGTGATAAGACTAGCCGTACTAAGGTACACTAGGCGTGACCACGAACTCTGAACTCTCTTTGAAGTTCAACGTTAACTAATTTAGCAATATAGTGTTTGAGCCTTTGATCAGTAAAGCTATTTGATCGTAAAGTGATAAGGTATCCGCCTGACTGTATCAGACAGCTAAATTCGATCTGTATAACGATTGTTAATTGATTATATTGAAATGTCGACTTATAATTAAATATTGAAATTATTATTATGTAATTTCATTTATACCAAATTAATATTTTTTAAACTTTTAAATGCAAGTTATAATAAAAAATTAAAACAAAATAAATTAATGTTATTAAAATATGTCATTTTCTGTTCGATCTTTTTGCTAAAAAGAAATCATTCTATCCGATTCAATATAATCAAATAAAATTTCAAACATGAAAAACCAAGATGGGTATGGAGTTAATAATAACTCATATACACATATCTCATACAATTCCATTAGACATGTACGAATTTCATAGTTACACTTCTGTCGACTAAAGAGTGAGATTATCGAATTTGATAACAGGTCCCCACCCAAGGAGAACTTTGAGCGTCCATACGCACTTACCTTTGTCGAATGGGTATAAGATAGTATATATGTAATATAATATAAAGAGAACTGCCGTTCAGCTAGATATACAACGATGTGCAAAACTAAATAGTTTTTGGAACAACGAAATGACTTGATTTAGTATTATATCCGTTTTGGTTACTTAAACATTGATGAATATCATATTGGACGAATTTCTAATCATATTATATCTTATAATTTTTGCTATGTCTAATGTTAAAATATCATATAATGTCTCTAAAAGTAAATCATAATTAAAAAATTAAATATCTTATAAATATACAATTATTAGACAATCCAATATTATATAAAAATTTATACACATTTAAATTAATGAAATTAAAATTTAAAAATGTAAAAAAATCGGTTTCTAAGTTCTTTCTATTTCATTTTTAATTATAAAATATTTTATTGTGTGATTAATAAAAATCGATTCAAGAAAATATAGATGTCGATTTTGAATTCTATTGTGCAAAATACCTTAAAAGATATCACGAGATGAAAGCAATCTTAACAGTATAATGACCATTTATTTAATTTACTGCCCGGAAGTGATTTAAGCATTATTCATTTTACTATTCATTGATCCTATTTACGAACATTCACCGGATGTAAGTCACATCTACACAAAAATATTTTCGTGTAATTTTGAATAAAGAAAAATTGTAATTTTTTTTAAGTAATAATTTTAATATTATTTTTAATTTGCAGGTAATGCATTTTATACCAATTTCAGAAATTTCCTTAATGTTATTGCTTAATTATCATTTTTAAATGAGATAGAATTATATGATAATTCTTTACTTGTTCAACGAGGTTGTCTTTTTTATTTTTCATAATTTTTATCATAATATATTTTATAATATATAAATAGAAATTTATACATGGTAATTTATACACATATATTGCCTGGATTATTACAACTATTTTTTATTATAAATTTCAGTAGAAATATACTTGTGTATATTATTTCTTGTATACGTTTTATTCGATAGTTATCATATATTTCAACGAACTTTGTATCGACCTTACTGACATTTGCATATGATTTATATATAGTTACGTCGCTGGCAATAAGTTTAAAATGGTAATACGTGTTAGCGTGGCTCAAGCCGGTCGCTTAAAAGCACCCAATTAGAAACTTTCTGAGGGCTGACCTCTCAAGCGAGTCTATTAAACCAGGTCTAACTGAAGGAGTTCTTCGCCGTTCCCACTAATCGAATTACATCTGTCATCGTTCCGCCAACAATTTCGTCGATGATAGCGATATCGAAGAAAATCAATGATTGATTACGGACATTGATTGTAATGTGTAACAATTCAGAAAACATTAATAACACATATTATAGTGCTTTCGGCATTTTATGACTTCAAATAGTCAATATTTTAATACTGATATAAAATATCCGTATAACAGAGCACTTTTAATGAGTCGCAACTATAAATGCAATTTGTATAATTTTGAATTTTATTTAAATTCTATAAATTTTATAGAACGCGCGCGTTCATTACGTGCTTTTATTTTCAAATGAATTTTGCGAAAAATATAATTTCGACTACGAGAAGACTAATAAAAAATTTTAATATTTGGAATTACTGATTATGATTATATCGTAAAATATAATAAAACACAGAAAATCGTGTGAATCAAGTTAATAATAGAAATCGGTTATACGGAGGATCTTTACCGAAGTTTCTCGACAGCAGCTGATGGCTCCGTTTTAATGCTAGGTATCTGCGCTTTAATGATCGTTACTTGAAGTAGGGGCCCTCTCAATACTAAAGTTCGCCATCGCGATAAAGGAACGCTGCAAACGCGATCGAAGAGCAGAGGCGTATACATCGAGATGACAATGGCCATTGTTGCTACTGAAACTCGGAAGATTTCAGGGAATGCTTCTGCGTGATACATTTGTGCAAATTTCATTTCATCCCGGGACGTTATTATTATTCGGACATGAACGTACGAGCCACATTAATGACGAATGGACGAATTTTGCTTATGATGAAGAGATTCGAAGCAGATGAAATATCGTATGTTTTTTGTGTGTATGCAATAATAAAAAAATTATAAAGATAATCAATCTTAAAAATAGGAATTTGAACCGGTTCCTCAGTTTTTATAAAAATAGATTGTCTCTGAATCTTCAATCAGAAAATAAAAAGTGAATACAATTACGTTTTTGACACTCTATTATTAAAAAGTTTACGAAGAAATGAATACAAAGAATATATAAAAGGTACACACATTATTAAGGAGAATACTCAATTATAATACTAAAAATTACAATTAATTTGAACTATTCCATGTGTAATTATATTACAATCGGAAAACGAATATCTAAATTTTCTCTACACTATTAAGCAAGAAATCTGTAATACAGCACTTAAAGCAATTTCTTGTCTATTTCGTTCTACAAAGAAAAGCATTAGCGAGTTAAATGTATTTCTTTGGCGCAAGATGTAAGAAATCAGGAAGGCGATAATTGAACTTGGAGTTTATCAACTTTAATCAGGAGCTGTTAAATTCTCTTTTCAAATAAAAATTGAGATTGACGAGAATAATTACAAATGAAATTCAAGTTCGTAAGAAAATCGAAAAGTAACGATCTTCAATTTACTATGAACAATTTTTCGCATTAACACTTCAGTATATGCAAAGTTATATTACAAATAATTTATCAATTGGTATTATTTTCACAATATAATATTTTTCTAACAATTTTCTATATCGATAAAAAGACCTTAAATTACAATTCTCAATTTTCCATTAAAAAATTATTATCTGAACAATAACAAGAGTTTCTGTATAGCTGAGATATTTCATTTAAATACTGTTGTGAAAATGTTCTTTATGTAACGTATTAACAAAGCATAAGCGTTGTAATGCGAAGCTTTAAAATCCTGTGCTTGACACTTGAAAGTAAGGAAGTGTCTTAAAGCAAACTAGAAGCTTCCATGTCGTACGGAGGTACCTTGCAGCTAATTGCATTTATCTTGTCATAGCGCGGGAAATTATAGCGAAGAAAATTGCAGTCCTAAGTGGATTACGCTGCTACGTCGAAGTCTGAAGCTTTAGGACATGCGACATACTTCCTTTCAACTTATTCGTAACATAATAATGAAAAAGATATGACAGTTAAGGTTATTATTATGAGAATCTTTGATAAATAATCTCTCGATTAGGCAAACGACGTTTATATAATATTTACGAAGAAAGCTGCTGTTGAAAAGCTATACAAAGTACTTCGAGCTTAAAATAACTTTCTAGATAAATCTATTTTTATATTATAACAAAAAGTATTATCGTCCCAGCGATCAAAACAAAATTAAAAATAAATATAAACGTAAAATTCGTTTTATCCAACTTTTTATTTAAAAATTTAAGAATAAAATAGAAAATAAATATAATTGTATTAAAATAATAAACTTGAGAAATCTTGGAATTTTTAACGATTTGCGTCTAAATAAAATTATAAGTTATATGCAAAGTATAAATGTGATTTAATTTTCTGTAGCAAACACTCACTTTGGTAATTCCCTCGATGAAAGCTCTGGTGGCCAGTTCACCAGGGCCGTCCACAGTCTTCCCATCATCATCCGGTCCCCACGAGGCGCTATAAATATCGATGTGTTGAGGATTAAGGCTCAAAGATCTTGCTTCGACGGCATCTGTTACATCGCCATCCAGCATTCGAACCCCTGTTTAAAAACATAATTATAAAAAGTTAACGATTAACATTATAAAACGTTGTGATTACATAATTATTCGTAAATGACGAAATTGTTGCATATATCATACATTTAATATAAAAATATTCTATACGAATCTATAACGATAGTTTTCTGATATGTTCAGATGCATATATATATATATATATACACACACACACACACACACACACACACACACACACACACATACATTGTAAAGAATTTTCAAACCGTTAAGCAGCATAAATTTCTCATTTGAGTTAATTATCCTACATAATTGCGATGATACGTGGAATAGAGAATCCCAATTTACAAGGTCGAAATTGGGCACCAAGCACCGATTTGAATCAGTTCCGAATGTAATGCACGTAATAGGCTATTGCCAATCCCGATTCTAATTCGAAAATGATGCGACCTCGTGATATCAATTCTGCTTATTGCAAACACGTGTTGTTCGTAGTAATGCGAGTTCCGACACTGACTTCGCTGCTGCTAATTGGAAACAGAACTGCAAATAGATTTAAGTGATTGCTTGGGATTAAGCTGTCATTTCCGACGATTTAATATAATTTTAATATATCCTACCTCTCTCTTTTATTAAAAGTCTTTCAATGTCTTATTTTTATCTTACACAACTTCTGCGCAATAAGCTCTTATTAAAATAGCAATTAAAATTTTACATTACTCGCGTCCAATTCAAGATTAAAATAAAACACGGATTAGAATAAAAATTTTCACAGCTCATCAGAGCTCTTACATTATACATATAAAAAAGTTCTAAAAAATGTACATAAAGTCTTTTTGATTCTTAAAGTGCATCGAAATATTAAATAATCCTTTTCACAGAATACTTACCACCTACGCCAGCTCCAAAAGCAACACCTACAGCGCAAAGAGAATTGTTGGCAGTGGCTGCGACCTCTCCGGCACACCTGGTGCCGTGTCGATTGCTATCTACGAGATCGTACCTTGGCATGGGATCTTCATCATGACTGTTGACGTCGTAACTAGCCTGAGGATCCTACAACAGAAATCGAGAATGGCATTAATTAAAATTCACACGTTTCACGAATCTTGTTCAATTATTCCACTTTCTCATTGTGAGGAATAAATATTTGTATATACACAAATAGAATATTTATTCAATAAAAATATAACACGTGCACACATAGTAAATAATCGTAAGACGAGTAAAAGACATCTGGCGTATACCACGAAACTGTGCGAGAGTTTTCCAGCAAAAGATTTTAATAGAAAGTTACATATAAGTTAAAATTTTTTACAAGCGAAATAAATTTTTGTAGTTTTTAGTAAAGAGATTTTTCGAGTGGTTAATATTTAGTATAACAGAGGTACAATAATAATAAAACATTATTGTCATTAGAGCGACTAAGTATTATGTTTTAATCCCTGATCACGCACATCCGGATATCTTCTTAATACCTTTTCATTTATGCATTATCTGCATAATGAGAAATATATGCGAAGGGATATAAGCTCGCATAATCAGAGCAACGCAGTAATAAGGTGCACCATCGCAGCGTGTGCCCATTGGCTGATTAATACGATTCACTTTCTACTACGTGCGCAGATGCCATTCAATGTAACCATCCGTGAATCAATAGCTATTCGGTATACGAATACATGCGCTGGATAACCCCCTTCCAATATTCGCGTTCAAGAGCTGATATTCCCAGTGAATCCGTGATATGCCTTCATCCGCCGTATTCTATTGTATGTTCCGTTAGAGCTTTTTCTCACTTTTCTCTTTTTTTTTCTGTATGCCAGCAAACGTATATACGCATCGAACATTCGTCCATCGAGCAATATTAAGCAGATATTAAGCGCTTGCGATTTTACTTATTCGCGTAAATTTAATCAAATAGAAAGCTACTTCACAAGATTACCGGAACTGTCATAAGAAATTACAAAACGCAATTTATTTGAACATATACTTCCAGTTCGCAATACTTTAAACGTAAGTTAAATGCAGAATTTTTTAATATTACAAATGTGTTTGCTTTATAATCACGCTAGAAAACATTTTTCTGAGAATCTGATGAATTTTTAAAAAACTAATAAGATACTCAAATATACTTACATAATTTTTAAAAAGGTCAGGATGATCTTTCTCTAATCCATCGTCAAGAATTGTCACCACGACGCCATTTCCAGTAATTCCCTCAGCCCAAGCACCTTGCACGTTCATGTCTAACCCCTTTCCCCTATTCTGAAAAGAAAAATTATCCAATACTTTCGACGTATTACTTCCGGCCGTGAGTCTTCATTTACGATATAAATGTCGGCGGCGCCTTTTCTAAATTGTTATCGATTGAACTCAGTTTGTAGTTTCCTTAATTCTTCATTTATTTTTTTAATTTATCTTATATTTATTAATCGCACTTTAGACTTTCAAAAAAGTTTTTTTAAACACTGTCGCAAATTTTACGTTTATCGAAAATATGGAAAGTATGCAATTATTATTGCTAAATTAAATATAAACTTGGAAATGTTTTTATTTAAATATTATATTATGTTAAATATTATATTTTTATCTTTCATACACTTTAACTGTATTAACATCTCGTGTGTTTATTTAGTGCAACCGATAAATAATCTTGTCGCGCACAGTGTCCTGTTGTATTATATTGCACCGATAAATGAACACACATCATTTATTGTTAATTAAAATTGCTTACCAGATACCACATCTGTGGCCACCTATCATCGTTTAGCATGGTTAATATATTGGACGGACGTTTGATTACAAGATCTCTTTTAGTACGCGATTTTGCCCGCTGTTGCTCCGCTCGACGTACTCTGAAGTCATTCATTAGCCTTTGGTGCATTTCGAGATGTGGTTCCGTTGACCTCTTCGCCACGGATCGATGCTCCATGTGGAACCAATCATCATTTATCTGTAACAATGTTAATAGTTCCGTATGAATATCGTGAAATGTCACCGTAGTTTTCGTTATTTCAAGTCCGTTAGAGAAAACGACTAACTTAAGCTGCTTATTGATGCTCAATTAGAAGTTAACAATCGTGAACATTACAAGCAGTGATCGTTCAGCGATCTTCCGCTGTTTTACCGTACCCCTTAATCGCGTGTAATTTCAATGAGGGGGAAAAACGAGTGCAGGTTAACGTACTTCTAAATGGGTAACAATTTTACAGTCACTGGAGCGATGTAACATCCGCTGCTTGTATATATTACGAACTCATAAATGAAAGAAAAACTATAATTATGTGTAAGCGTGTACAAATATATAAGTCTATAAATGTTAAATGTATAATATTTAATCAAATTTAGAATTTAAAAGAAATGTACATCATGTACAATAAGAAGATTACATACATATTGTATTACAAATTTTAATATTTCAAAGAGGCACTTGTGTATATTTTTATATGTGTCCACAATGCTTCTTTGAGATATTAAAATTTGTAATACAATATGTATGTAATCTTTTTAACTTAATATCTAAGGTATTTTTCTTGTTGTCTCTCTTTCTCTCTTCTTTCTTTTTTATTTACTGAGTTACGTTATGAAAATTAATTAACGTATAACATTTTTATAGTGTTAATATGCTATAAAATTTCTATTGAAAAATCGAGAGAACATGAATTGAAAGATACAAAATATACCACGACTTCTAAAAACGCACGCGAGTTTGCGTTAATCCAATTCCAATTAATTATTGGAAATGGATTAACGCAACTCGTGCGTTTTTGTTTTTTTTCCATTATTTCTGATGTAGACAAGATAAATGTTCACTAAATCCCGAGTCGCGTTTATTAGGGCTACAAGATATATCATTTCCCGACAGAAATGAAAATGTATACCGGCCATAAAACAACGGCATTTGATGCGCAAGTTTGTTCCACCGAGTGCAAAAATAAGGGTGTACGATGAGAGGGTGAGATAATGATAAACGTGAAAAGTTAGAGGCCAGCTGCTGCGAACAGACTTCTTTTACAGCCGTCTCAGGCCACGCGAGCTGCATTTTTTCATTTCCGCATGTCCTTCCTACACCTTTATGATGTCACCTTTGTATGTCTCGTCCATATATTTCACTTAAAATTCGCTGTTGCACTATTTCTTATTAATGTATAAATAAAAAGTAAGATAAATTAAATGAGTAAACTCTGAAAGTTCTTTATCGTAAAAATCAATGTCGCCGGAAAAAATCTGCTATTTTAGTGGAATTAAATAATTATTTAAAGATAAATATATATAAAATAATTATATTAGTTATGCAAGCACTACTTTTTGTATATAATAATTTATTGATGACTAAGCTGTTTTAAAATTTTTATTTTTATTAAAATAATTTCTTTATTTCGCGTTGTGGTTCCATATTCTCTTTTATTTTTAATGCATTATAGTTTATGTTTGTACATATTAATAGTATAAAAAATAAATGTAAATTTTGAAAATTCTTAAAATAAATGTTAACTCAATCTGTCAACACGACTTTCAAATATTCTACATCGCAAAATAGTTTCCAAAAGTTCAGCGACGCTTTTTGCAAGGCTGTTTTCTCAAGTATTGATCGCGAATCACACTGCTTTCGTTCATTTTCGTCGGATAACTCTTCGTTTTGACAATTGGCATCTTGGATGGACAATTATGTGAGCACAAGCTTTTCAATTGCGAAAAAGATTCGCCTTTGCTTGCAGCGAACTTTAACAGTTCCGAGCGCAGTTTTTCGCCGCGCGGTTGTATCAGTTCGACGATCCGCGGAAGACAAGGATCGAGACTGTTTCTTTTCTGAAAAATCTTCAAGCGAATCTTATACCTCTGTTGTGTCCATCCGTTACTCGGTACCCGCGACTTGAATCTCTTCTTTCTTGTAGTTTCTCGCCGCGATTTTGATCTCTTTATCTTCTTATAGTCGGACAGAAGAGCTTCTTGTCGGACATTAACGTCAACAGGTGGCTTGCGTTTAATGCCGATACCCCACATTTCCTTTATGTTAGGACATTTACTCAATCGATACTTGAAACTCGCCATATTAGGATTACAATCGCTGACATCTGGCGTGACAAAATTTTTTTCAGGTTTCTCAACGCAACAACGACCGTCCCTCGTCAGTGTTGGAAATTGCTGAATTTCAGATTCCATTGTTCCGTTAGGCGAAGGAATTGTCAAAAAAGCAGCGCATTTGTCTTTGAAAGAGATCGCGCTGCGTTTCTTTGAGACACTTTTCTGCAAGTGTGATGCCTTGGCATCTGTTCCACCACACTCATTTTCTTTCGGGCTCCTGCTGGAAGTCTCATGAATATTCTGCGGAGGTGACACAATGTCTTTCGCACGGGATTTCCGCGGTCCCTTGTCAGGGATGAAGATCATCGGTGAGGCTTTAACAAGGGATGAACGGGTCGTCTTTTTCAAGCAATCGTCGCAGTAAGGCGGTGGATTTTCACTCCAGTGAGGATATCTTGGCGGTGGAGGATCAGGTCTTCTGTCATACTTGTATGTGTCTGATGTAGGATATTTCTTTGGTATTTTATGTTTAACAGAAGAAGCTTTCTTCTCATTCGATGTAATTTCTTTGGAAGACAAAGTCTCTGATTCAGAACATGGCATAGGATAAGGTGCAGTTTGCTTCGACTTGTCTTTGCAATTATCTCGTGACGATGGAAAATGTATCGGTTCTTTCCGGTTGTCTGGATAAATACACGATTTCGGCTTGCATTTATAATAAATCTTTCTTTCCGTTGCTGGTTTTCCGCAAATCCATTTCTCAGACATTATTCGAGTCGCTGGTTTCGATGTATAAGACTCGCACACTCGCTGATTATTGTATAGTACAGGTTTGTCAGAGTAATTCGAGGAATTGGATTTAATCGACTGGTAACATTCGTCATGATTCAATAAGTCGTTGCGAATCTTTCGATACTTTTCTGTTGATATCTGATAACCATCGCTGCGCCATTCGTGAGGTTTTTCACTGGATTCCGCAGACTCCTCGATACATTCCTGGCGTTGTTTCAACGAGTCGTTCTTTTCGCTGGATTGCGTAGACTTTCCTTGCTTGAATCGCGCAATTATGCCTTCGTTAATATTATGTTGCAGAAGTAACAAATCTGTAGAATTATTTCCTCCCATAAAGTTCCGATATGAAATCAAGTGATTTGGAACAGTTTGTAATGTCAGTAATCTCTGTGGAATTCTCAGGGATTCGTTTAACACGTGAATCATTTGCGATTTCTCATGCGACAAAAATGTCAAGATTCTAAACAAAATATTCATTTCGTAAATCTTGCTGTATAAAGCAAATAAAACTCTTCTTTAATAAAATTCTTTGTCAGTCTTCTCGGTTTTGTCGATGAATACGGTACCGAAATCTTTGCGAACACCTGGATGAGAAGATGTATAATTATTTACACAAGAAACAAAATTTTCAAAGTATGTATGTAATATTGAATTTGTTCTCTCTTTGGAAGTTTACTCATCAATAAATACAAGCCGAGCTTCTTAATAGATATAAGTAAGACAGTTTACTGCAGAGAACTATCTACGTATAAAATGTACGAGTTAAATTTTTACGGTTCTTTTAACACACATTTTGTTCGGTGTAAGTTAAGATCGACTTCCAACGTGACTTTACCTTCTGCCAGAAAGCTCCCAACATCTTTCACTGGCAGCTGCGGGGTAGAATTTCTGTAGTTGGACTTTGATCTTGTTACTTTCCTCAATGCTTTTCTGCCGTCAATTTTTCGCTTATTAAAGTGGAAGTAACATTTTAGAAATGTCAAAATATTATCAGATAAAGTAAACCTATGATTGCGTCAACCATTTGATGTAGTTAATAAAAAAGTCGTGTAAAAATGATGTGTAGACTCATGATTCAAAAAGAATACATTTGAATTTATTTAAATTTCGAAAACTATTGTGGTTACTGGAAATTTTTACGCACCACGTATCAAACGTGTGCGATTTGTTGAGTAAAATTTATGAATGATTGAAGTACGCGATAAGAAAAGCCTAATCGATATTGCAATGTTCATACGTGTTAAATTTACAATGTGGTACATACATACATATGCATGTATTCGATTTATAGAATTACAATATAAATATCACAATCCATCACTCCTATCATTTCATTTCGACGCTCAAACTAATTTACAGTCCCTCTCGTAACTTTGCTGTGCCATCCACTGGCCGGAAACCATCCATTGAACATCGGTCCTAATTGCCACCAAAATTCGGGGAACTCTAGAATCGCAGGCGAGGTCGTGTGAATTCCATTCCGAACTTTCCATTTGCGACGCCGCTACCGTGGTTTAGAATCCGCGACTAAATTGCTTTAGCAACGCGTTTCGGGTTCATCTTCGGTATGTGTCGTCGCACATACGCGATGTCCTAATTCGATCGATCAGATTCATTACGAGTGGCTCAGTCTCCAGATTATCTGATTTGAGAACTCGTACAAGGATATATTGATTGGAGAATTCCGTTCGGAAACTCGAGAAATAACATTACCGTTAGTTTATGTTCACGAAAACTGTCGTGATTGCGCTAATTTCATACGTAGATCTTCAACACGTATTCAACATGCTTCATTACGTCACTACATACATACAAGCCATAATTTTCACATTTATTCTGTTTATATTTTTTGGTTATAAGCTGTATATGTATATAAAATATATTGGATTGATTTATTGTAAAATAAATTCAAGCGCCAGTTCTTGAGATATATATTTTGAATAAAAAATATTTTGTGAAATTTCATATTGTGAAAATATTTATAAATAACAAACTAATAATTTTTCACACTAGATGTATAGCAGATTATACTATGTGTTCTTTTTATGGAAACTGCAGTAAAATTTATTATTGCATTGCAAAAAAAAGGTGATTTTTACGAAGATAAAAGTCAAATAAAATTTTATAAATATAAGAAACAATTAATAAACTATATACACTGAAAAAAAATTTCTAAATCTTAATACATTTTTTTAAATGTATTATGTACTAAATAAATATTTACTTACAATAAATAAATGTTTACTCAATAAAAATAATACTTAAAACGCTGGTTTTTGTATCAAACATATATTTATTAAAGTTTATTATTTTTGCAGTATAGGAAAATTAATTATTAAATTTATTCTTTCTACAGGGTGTAGAAAACTATAGCAATAAATATTTTAAAGGCAACATTTGGTGACATTTTAAAGTGAAAAATCTAATGCAAAAGTGTGTTGTGTGTTGTGTCGAGGCTAAGAGAGATTTTAAATGAGAAAGGTTCTAAAGTTATAAATGACGAGGCTAAAATTTCGTACGCTCGGAGATGGCAAGATGGTCAGTGAGAACTGGCAAGAACTGGTACTGAATTTTATTATTATCACAAAGACATGAAGTTTGAAGAAACACCTTCACACTGATCATCTTGCTATTCCTGGGATGCGTTCCAAAACTCGACTTTGTCAACTCCGGGAATTTTTTATCCTTATTCAACACTCAGCGAATAACAAGGATAAAACTTGAATTGATGGGGTTGAATTTTGGAACGCCACCCTGACCGAAATTCTAGCCTCGTCGTTCATAATTTTTAAACTCTTCCTATTAAAGGTGTTTTCCAATTGCTGAACATATTTTGTCACAAACGTACGCAGGAATGCACAAAGCTTATAGCATTGTGCACGATTCAATTGGAACAAAATGTGTACGCTGTGCACGATTTCGATTCATTTCGGAGAGAGATTAAATGTAGCTTTTCCGCTTGTATTGAACAAAAAAGGAAAAGAAAAAGTGTCAGGCACTCAACGTCCAATCTTATTTATAACTACCGCGGTTAGTAACATGTAATTTTCACTAGAACAAGTTTACACAGCCGACTAGTAGCCCTCGGGCTGAATAAATACGGCTGAATAAATACCTGTAACGTTGTATCGACAAAAACGACGGTTCTACAATTAAAAAATTACGATAGTCACGACATTGTTGTATTAGACCTTTCCTTTTAAAATGTTACAAAAAATCTGTCTATAAAACGGTCATCGTCAGTTTTAGGACACACTGTATAGAAAAAGACTTGATTCTGGAAATTACTATTGACTACTTACATTGTTACAGTTATTAAGCTTCAATGCTAACAATTAAATACGCAGCTCCAATTTCTTAAAATCTCTCGATCGTGTGCAATCATTAGGAATTCGCAAATTGAATCTGGCATTGGGATATCGCCAAGTTTCAGATTCGTGTCGCTGCGTACGCAGGATAATCGATCACACAATGCCGGTGGCTTCGCATCGAATCTGATTCATTAGGTGCAGCGCCCGGCGGCGGGCTCATCCGATTTATCGGACGGCGCGAAAGCGTTGATTGGCGGACGCCGGATTGCGGACCGCAGAAATTGTGAGTGCTCTCGGCGAAGGGATAATGTCATAGTGATGGTCCGGCGGCACGAGAATGCGCGGCCGCTACCGTAATTCCATAGAGTGCATCCAGCGCGGCGAATTGACGCGCAATCAAATCGCGGATGCACAAAGAGGATGCACTGCGGTAACAGAGCGCCGTGTAGGAGATTACACGGAGTTTTTCTCACAAGCTCGACTGTGTCATCGTGCATGTCCATTTTGAAGTCCAAAACAATTCCTTTGAGACTCGAGACCTACTTTCTATTTACACAGCAAAAAAAGAAATGATTCCTACGTGCAGGGTTGGAGATTACTAATCCATTTTTATGCAATTTCAGTGAAAAAAACTTCAATTTTTGCCGTAAATACAGAAAAAATTACTCTCGTTATCAGGAAACAAAATCGTGAAATCGGATTTTAAATTAAACTTCCTCTCCTCTATTCACATTTTTACAAAAATATTCTTTTTGAAACGTTTTTTCACATAATTTCCACGTTTACGTTTATAATTTCACATTCATCATTGACGAAGGAAGATGGTATGACAGTCTTTTCGATCAAGACGTTGCATAATGCCGGGTTCGTTTACGTATCGTATTTCAAGCTGAACATCACCTTAATGGCCCTTCACGCTATATCGAGCGTATCGCGTATCATGATCAACTTCAGGCGCTCGTGCGTGAAAAGTATCACTAGTAGTATCAGCGTTTAAACGTGCAACCTGCACCGTTCGTCGATTTCCTTTGCCTGCCCTCCAAATAGTTTAACGGTGTCTCTTTCTGTTTGCGTGAGTGTGTCATCCTTTCCTCGTTTTACGTTCGTCCCACAAGCTGGGAACGGTTTCCGATAATGCTGATCCAGTACGCATACATCAAGCCAAGGTCGCAATTCGGTAAGCAATGCTTCTTCGGAGAGACCGACCCGATCATTCAGGAGAATATCCTACCGGATCCGAAACTCATGCGAAACTACATCCACACGAGCCATTGCCACCGTGGTGTACAGATACCCAAGCAATTTGCTCTGCACGAGGTAAATTATTGTATATACAATACAAAATGGGAAAAGTACTTCTAGTATCCTCTTATTCTTGAAAATTAAACAATTAAAATTTCAGCTAATGAGAATAGAGCGCATTAACTCTTTAAATGATTTTGATATTTAATTATTGTACATAAAGTTCATCGAAACGTTGTTTCGACTCGATTTAGAGTCTTCTTCAATGAAAGCATTATTCTTCAGAAACTAAATTATTGTAGGTTCCAATGGAATCGTGAAGTTTCAGCGAGGAGTTTAATTCCTTGTTTATTATTGTGAACCTTAATTATTATTTATCTTAACATTTAGTCATTATTAGTCTTTATTCTTATGTAATTATACTCGTCTCCATATAATTTTCTTTCTAATCAAAAATATATAAGTCAATATTATGTAATAAAGAAAATGGAAAGCTTCTTTAAAAGAAAAAATGTTGGAACATCGTAGATAAATTTTGAAGAATATTAAAAATTTTTGACAAGTGTATATTAGAGATTATTAGATTAAAATCTAAATAGTCGATTATTTTGTTAACATGATGTTGCATGCCTTCGAGATGTATCATCAGCAGCTGCATAAATGATTATCCATAAATTAAGCACAGGCTAAACGCTAATGAGTTTCTATATTCGAAACTTTATATATCATAGGATTTAAGGGAAAGCTGGGATTATGAAAATAGCTTTGCTGAGTCATCGTCGAACGAACTAATTCTGCAACGAATTTAGCCTTTGCGGCATTTAATTTTCAAGAATTAATAAGTGCGTCGGACATGTAAATACGCGTCGACCGTCAGCCTTCCTAACATTTTGTTTACATTTCAAAGGATCAGAACTATGTCAGTTTTAAATTAAATATTGTATGCGATTCTGAAAAATATGCAAAATTTACGACGAAAATCCGGATTTTCAATCTGGAAGAGAGCGCGAAATAAAACTCGCGGAAAGTTTTAATTTAAACATAATATTGCTTCACGGTGTATCTCGCATCAGTTTACATTGTAAACCGCATATTTCTCGCAATGAAAAAATTAAATTTAACGGATTTAATTGCATAAAACACAGAAGATCAATATTTGTGAACATGCTTTTAATGACACGTGCCATAAATGTGGGATACGTTAAAATGCCGCATAAATTGTTTAATGCAATCAATTTCATAACAAATAAGAATTTGCGAATGTAGAACAGGTAAACTGCGTCATGCTGAGAATATACATTGCAGTGTAAAACAGCGAAAACGGATTGCGTGTTTCCTCTTTAAAGTGAACCACTTTAACGCCGTGATGCGTTTCTCAAGAGTGCTCAAGTGTTAAGTATGCGGTGTTAGGTTTTACATGTGCAATAAAAGAACGGTTAGAAATGGAGAAGCGAAATCGCTTTTATAACCGCATTATTGCGTACAGTTTACGTGATCTCTTTTTATTTTTACGTCAGATACAAACCGCTAGTAAAGTAACAAAGGAGAGCGGGATGTTACATTTAGAGGGCGGTTGGCCTAAGGAGATAAACGTGAAGGACGACGAAGCCGTGTTGAGATTTCGCCGGCGTGTAGTAAAGGACGAGTATTGGGCGCCGAAGATGAAGAACCTCACTAACGTGAGCCATTTTGAAATACATATATGTGTTTAAATACACCCTTTAACAATTTAAAGCGCATTACGGTAAAAATAAATTAGTTCGGTAAAATATCAATATTTGCTACACAATTTTTTAATATAATCCTTGGTTTTTGTATTTTATGTAAATCAAGGATTCTATATTGCAGTTTTAACGACTCGATAAATAGATCTAAGATGATTTAAAAAATATATTTTAAAAATATACAAAATCTTGTTTGACAATCTCAATTAGATAAATACATTCATCTTAAAGATTGCATTCAGAAAGCTAACAGCACTAATGCATCGTTTTATCCTTGTTTTACGTTTAACGAGCAGATAGAATGATAAAATAACGCCGATAGCACGCGTGTCAAACGCACCGAAAAAAACCTCTAACGCAGAAAGCTCAATGTAAGATAAGAGGATTAATTTACAATATTAAGAAGATCAATTTATTAACTTATTCGCTTAGCCTATGGAACGCTGTATACTGCAGAATAACATCATCAACATTTATGAGCAGTACTTTGACGATATAGAACCGACTTCGCTCGTTTTTTCCTATGGTATAAGGTATGTTGCATTTTTGTCAGTGAACTCTATAATATATTAGAACATGTTTTCTTATATTCAACTACAGAAAATATTCTTATATTCAAGTATAGAAAATTGTAGTTTATTGGAAAAAAAGGAAAGCAAACTTGTGATTTTTCAGATTGTTTTTTATTTAGAGCAGAGTAAAATAATACGATTATTATTTGACCAGCGAATCCCTGACAAAGAAAACAATACAGTAACACTTTGTATTAAAGTATTATCGTCTAAGAATTGGGACACCTCCACTTCTCGATGGTTCACTCCAATGCAATGATAGAGCTCACTGATTTTCGTCGTTATAAAGAGACAGTAATAATTCTCATAATTTTGAACGATTCAGTTATAACAGAAGAAAGGTTTAAAATGTATATCGCTATTTCCAATTTACGTTTTTAAGCCGATGAGAGTACTAATCTTTTTCCAATAATATAATATTGTTCATTTCCTTATTTCAAGTACATGAAATCTAAAAAGTACGCCAGATTACTCTTGCTTTTTTTTAACCGACTAGCATACATTAAACTGTAAATCCTGCTATCGCCGATATCCAAGGAATATTCAAAGTCTCGCTTCAACGTGCCCGACGCAAGCTTCCACGGACGAGTTAAATCTCTCTCCGCAAATCGCGGTCACGTACGGAATTATCATACGACGCATATCTTCGTCGAGACTGATGCTACTCGTGCGTTACGTTCTTGTACAGACATGAAGAATAAGTCTCGTAAATCCGGAGACAAATTCTGCGTATTAAAGCGCAAAGAAATGTCGATAATCAAATATATTGTGCGTATAAGGAAATTTTTCCGATTAATAATTTATAACTTTTAGAATTTTATAATTTTTTAAAAATGAAATTCAACTACAAATTTACGGTTTCGCTGCACTGTTGTGTATTTTGTATGATATTCGGTAACTTATTTATAAGACAGGAAATCCATAAATCGATGCGACATCTCGCAAGACAACGATGCTGTCATTGAGAAGCTCGCGGGGAAATTCTCTTATCTCGTCGGATTTTCATCTCTCGATGCTTGTTTAACACGAGTTGCAATTTTTCCCCGTCTTTTTCCTCGTGCACCCAAACACGTGTTGCGCCTCTCAGATGCCTCATACGATTCTTGCGCGAATTGATCCGCTTTTCTTCTATATGTACACATCGTAAGCTTCTAAATATCGCTATCTCCAATATTGACACTCGAATTTACTGTTATTGATGGCACCTGTACCTCTACTAAAAAAATTGGACGACTTAGAATAACGACAGTAAATTAAAAAAAAAACTTTCTACAAAATAAAAGTTAAAGAATCTTTTCTTTTTCTCTTAATTACCAGAAAGCAACCACAAAAGAAACAAAAGGAAATGCAAATTCGAGTTCGAATTTACATTTTAATAACTTGCACAATAAAATGGAAATAGTATTTTAAAGTTTTGTTCTATTTTTGCATTGAATCTATTCGATAGTCTCACAACACTATTGTATTGTTTTTATATCTGATAAATTCTCCAAATAAAGCCAACCATTTTTGTTGCGACAAGAAAAGCTCGAAGCTCTTATTACATCGTTTCGAACATTAATAGTGTCCACATGTTTTTATGCTTTTTAACGAAGAACCTATGGTTGTCATTACAATTAATCGCTTCCCGAAGGGTATTACCAAGTGAACGAAATAAAAAGGACGGCGTCTGCAATGTGTAAAAGCAACGGCGTTATCGCGTCGTCGAGCGGATGATTTACGTGCTCGAGGATAAAAAAAGATGAAAAGAGGAAAACGAATTTCCATGAGTGCGATTTTGCACGGATTTTTACGGGAGCTTTAATTTTCTTTTTTCCAGAACCTCAAACATGTACACCGATCCACAATCTATCGTAAGACCAATCAATCACCTGTCGTGGTCGCCCGATGCACAGAATCGATTGGCTGCTGCCTACTCTTTTATGGAGTTCGAGAGGAAACTATCTAATGTGAATCCTTCCTCTTACATATGGGACATTGGTATACAATTTTTATGCTACCGCACAACGACACGTATGTTACCAAGTGAAACACTATCGGAAAATGCATGTACCTTTCACGATATCTTGTACAAAGGAAATTTATTTAAAAATCTAACTTATTCTTTTAAAGATAATAACATTTCTATTATTGCTCAATGTATACAAATTTAACAACATGATGGAAATTGTATCACAAATTCAGCTTTATGATTTATAAGAAACATTGATTAATATTACTTCTATATATATGTATATACATATATATATGTATTACATATATGTATATACATATATGTTTATATATATATACATATATATATGTATTACATATATGTATATATTAATCTTAAAATTATTTGAAACTGTCAAACACATGTTGTTCGTTGTATCCTACGTGAGATATATCTTGTCCAGTGTTTCTGAATTTTATTGAATTCTCCTGTACTAATACAATATCCCGCGCAGAGATTTTTTTAGAATGTCGAATCTGACACGCTTTACAACGTATCGGAAGCATGTTTCATCATGTCGTCGTCAAACGCGACCTGTCACACGCTCGTTCTGGTTCCGGTTGCGGAAATCGATTGGTCGTTTCAAAGTCCTTCATAATATTTGAAATGCGTCTCACTGACATGAATCTTTATATCTACACCAGACGACTGTACGCATGCGTGTTGTTTATGCGGAGTGTTTGTTATTGACAGAAACATATCACATGACAAAAACAACCACCTATAAAGCCGAATGTATTTCCAGTAACACGATTTCCTCACGAGTAGGACATATATAATATATACTAAAAAGTAAAATATTTTTTATAGCTAGTACAAATCTCAAATAAAAACCTTACAGAAAAAAGTAGTGGAAAATAAAATTGTTAATAATTAGTCATAGAAATATTTTCGAGAGTTTTGCGCCAGAAGCATGATATTTTTGTTTATTATTTAATAATACAATATTTCCTCTGTTCAAAAGAAATAAATTTTATTGTTATTGAATATATTGAAATATTGAAAGAATATTTTTAATTGTTTGCAGTTTTTTTTAATAATGTAGAAATTTCAATTACGTACTGCAAAGAAAAAAGAGCAAATAAAATGGTTTTTTTTTTTTTTTTTAGATAAATTTCGAGAAAAGAGCATTCTCTAATGGGCGACATAAATTGATTTGATTACTTATTCATTTAACAGTATCAAATTAAAAAAAAAGAGAGAATTTAAAATAGGCAAAATGTAATTCTGTATCGTCACAGAGAATCCAAACAAACCAGTGCTGTGCATGAGATCATCATCACCGTTAATAATCGTCGAGTTTAACCCACGCGATCCATCGATGCTGATTAGCGGATTGATGTCTGGCCAAGTGTGCAACTGGGACATCCGAATCGGGGATAGGCCAGTGCAAATGTCCCATCGTCAATTCAGCCACAGGTATCTATATATCTGCGAATGGGAAGTTCCTCGGGACTTGCACCTATCCGCCGAGATTATTGGCCAGAACTTGGACGTGCTTGACTTTGATGTATGGTCTGTGGAATTGCAAATATCCTCCGAGAGAAATGCTGTAAAGCCGTGCAAACGGTAGTTTCTGATACCTGGATTAATGCAGTTCTTAATAGATATGGCATGTATTGACGAGAATGTGTTAACGCGATTAGAAGCACGTAAACGCTTGCGCATAAAATGTGAACCAAAATCTGTTGCGTAATTTTATTTTGAGTTTAATGTCATCAGAGATTATTATGTGTGAAATATATTTTCAAACAATTTTAACAATGTTTGCTACTTTCGCTTCAAATAATATCAACTACATACAGAATACTTTATTACTAAATAAATAATTATAACGTCTTGAATAATTTTGCATCACCGTTGGAAAATATTATGATAGTACTAATTGTTCTCAATAGTTCCATTTCTTGTTGTAAAAGGAGAAGGGATGGGAATATAAAATAAATATGAAATAGCGCAATGCTACAGTTTTAGTCGAGAAGTTGCGATTGCACTGACTCTCTTGTAAAATTTTACCTCTGCGTTAATGTTCACAACACGCCAATTAAATGGTGCAGACTCCGTGAAGGAACAATGTTTGTAAACTGGCTCGATGAGAGTTACAGATCGATGCAATTCAAACGTTCCGTAAACGCGGTCGCAACTTCTGCCGTCGTCGTGGCAAAATGTTTCCAAAGAGCCTGCCGTTTCGCTGCCAAATTGTAATCTCCGTCACTACCATTTCTTCTCCCGTTCTCACCGACGACGCGCAAAAGAAATCCGGCGAACCAGGCGCTCTGGATTCAATCCAAGACCAATAAGGAGTTCTTCTCGGCATCCACCGACGGTGCGATTAAGTGGTGGGATATAAGGAAGATGAGGCAACCGACCGACGAACTAGTGATGGATTTGGATAATCCACTCCGAGCGGATATCCTTCGTGCGATCGGCGTCACAAAGCTGCAGTACGAGCCGAGCATAGGACATAGATTCCTGGCGGGTCTGGAGAATGGCATGGTGATCAACATAAGACGGAAAGTCACGAAACCGGTCGATAAACTGGCAATGAGATTCAACTGTCACGTCGGCCCTGTCATTGCTATTGATCGAAGCCCATTCTCTGTCAAGAATTTTCTTACTGTAGGCGATTGGATCGTCAAGATCTGGTCGGATGATACCAAAGAGGATAGCTTAATTACCATACGGTAAAATTCATTAAGTTTAATCAACGTAAACATACCGATTAAACATTTTGCAAATTAAAGCTACAAATATAATACTTTTAACTTGAAATTATTTGAGCTAATTAATATCGTGTTAGGTATGTACAAAAGTTCTTACAGTTTATTTGAAGGGCAATTTCCAAATATGCTAATGTTATTGTCTGTATGCAGCGTTACATATTGTAGTAATACTTATAATAAACAAGAACTAAGTTATAAAATAAAAAAAATTATTATTGATATATTAATCGTGAAAAAAATTTTTGCCAAGTAAGCATCGAAATAAATTGCATATCAAACATTGTTTGCCTTTTAAATTTAGATCAAATTAAATCTCAAAAATCTTATTAGATTTAATTAAAATTCTTTACTTTTTAGATAAAAAATTAAACTGTTGTCTATGTAATGTAAATTATTAACTTTTATGCTTCTTTCCTATCTTGGTTTATTATACAAATTACTAAAGACGAAGCTGCACATAACACTGGTCGATTCAGTAAATAAAAGAGTTTTGTAAAATTGTTGAACTGTTGTAAAATTCTATATATTGTATTATAATTAGTGTTAGCCTTAGCTTCTTGCTGAATCTAAATAAATGATCATATTAAAGAATTTTACAAGTTATAAAGCTACGTTTTATACTGAACACAGTCATTGGAATCATACTTGAAAATTATCTCATAAATATACTGCAAGAACTTTATTGCACATATCTGATAACATTTCCTCCATTTTCGTTGTAACATAAAGCTATGTATATTAAGATTACGTAGACGCTCCAGTGCGCTCTATTATCACTATTGTGTTGTGCATATCTGACTGTAAATTAGTTAGCGCACAAAAAGTAGAATAGAGTTAGGAATACTTAGCGTGAAACAAAGCAAAGCAGCCAGCTATTCACGTAAACAGAATGATACATGTATTGTATGTATCTCGCAATTTCGACTAATGTCTTGTTTATCAGTGTTGAAGCTTTCTATCGTCATTCTTGTCGGCGTAGTTTTGAAGTTAATGTTGTCATCATATCGTAGAACATACAGCTCGGTAAAGTAGATAAAATTCTATACGCATAGTGAACAGAATGCTGATTTACGCGGAGGTTGCTGGAGCAGATCCAGGTACTCAGTGTTCTTCACCATAAACGCGACGGGTCTGTTAGAGGTATACGACATTCTGAACGGCGTGGCTTCACCGGTGACCACGTTTCGTGTCTGCAACGACAGTCTCACGACCATCGCTCCTCATGAGAACGGTCAACTGCTGGCAGTCGGCAGTCACGATGGAAATATATATTTAGTGGAATGCTCCGACGGACATATTACTAACACTAAAACTGACAAAGCGAACCTTATTGCCGTGAGTGTTTTGAAAAAGTAAATCAGTTAAAAAAGATTATTGTAAAATTTTGACGGCATTTTTTGTTAAAAAATTGACAATTTAGATTTATAATTTGAATTTCCACGTCGTGGTAGCTCTGAAATACAAATGTGCAAATTTTGCTAATAGTTTGCATGTAACTAATACAACAATCTTGAATTTTTTATTGATTGTGTGATCCTTTTCGAATTCGTATATTTCGAGTTGGTGTATTCCAACTTTGATCTAACATCACTTTATACTTTATGATGATCTAAAACGAGAAGCAATGTGTTTTTTGCTATAGTATCTCGAGAGTTGTAGTCGATTTGGGAAGACTGTCGATACACGATTGAAAGAAATGCGCTTGATGCAAGCTAGCATTCATGAAGATTCCGCATCGGACCGCTCGGCGTTCATATTAAAGAAGAAAGGAAATCAGGAAAAAAATAAGAACAAGGCGCCGGTTAAAGAAAAGGGCGAGCAACCTAAGAAAAAATCTCGAATGAAAAGGTTGGAAAAGGACGACACGTTCTTCGAAGAACTGGCGGATTCAGAAGCGGCATTTTTTCAAACAGTAAAGAAGGTAAAAAAAATTTAAATAGCCGAGAAGAAGAAAAGATGCACTTTCCACTGGCATAAAATTTTTCTCTCGTGCTATTTAGAATGCGTATTTTCATGTCTCTTGAAACATTAATGTCGTTGTTATAGGTGCTTCCATTTATGATGGTAAAAAAGAAATAACGCGCGCGTTATATTTTTCTACCTTAACATTAAATCACTAAAACATATGTAATACCAAAATATAAGTTTAATTAATTTACTATGTATTTACCTAAGTTAGATAAAAAATAGAATTTCTTAATGATACAGATATATAAATTTTACGTAAATTACATAATTTTACAGGTAAATGAGATTATTAAATGTTAAGCTGTAAATTCAGTGATCATTAGGAGGTTCAATCTGCCATGCTAAGAATTAAGACAAGCAGAGACAGAGTTTTAAAAATTCTGTCTGATATATATTACTTGAGTACTTTGGTGGTTAATTTTTAACAGAGAGTGTGATAAGTGATATCAATTTTTAGTTTTGTGTTATTATAAGTATATTTTATTTAAATGTATAAGAAGACATACAAAATTTAACTACATACCTCATATTATTTCAAGATTAAATTTGATAAAGTGCTCATGCTTTCTTTCCTCTTAAGTTAATAATTAGGCAATTAGTGTTTATAAAAACTTACCTAGATTGTATTTTATTACTAAAAGTATAAAGTGTACAAAATTAAATAAGAGTGACCGATTTCTTTATATATAAAATTTATAATACATATCAATATAGCAATACTATGTACCTCAACAGTGATAGCACATTTTAGGGTCAAAAATATTAACAAATAATTATATTTATAGTTTATAAGCCATATACATTTTTACGAGAAATTTGCAATTATGTCTTTTAGGAATTTGCGACTTATCCGAAGCTGGATCCTGAAATTGAACAGATGATCAGTCTCATGCAAGAAACACCGCGCAAGAAAAAGATTTTGCGTGAATCAGCGACGGTAGAGAAAAAAATAATCAAAACTGAGCAAAGGCAACCTAAATCAAGAGGAGAAAGGACAAGAGCGGTAAGACCCATATCCTCAACGAGATCCTTGACAGAAGGGATAGAAGTTGACAAAGAAGAAGATGAAAAAGAAGCGGCTGCAAAAATAGAAGTGCCATTCATAAAACCAAAAAAGATCGTGAAGAAACGCCGAGGACAGATTTTAAGTAAAGTCTGTGCCGTTGAAGTTTGCAAGCCGGAAATCTGTTGCGCAGACCTGGAAGGTAAATTTCCGTTTTCAACGACAGCGTAAACGTCGTTACCATCGGGTCGGTAAGGCGATCTATTTTTTCACTTTCCATGCGTCGCTTGGGACGTCGTGGACGGACAAGATAACGAGATCTTCCCTTAAAGCTTGGCGAGATCCGATAATACCGAGCTTCCATGGTTGCACGGCTTTATTTGAGCCAGCAATGGCGGCAGTATTATGTAATTTTCTTTCATATTCGAGCAGTGACAACGTGGTACGAAGAAATATCGCGGCAGACAGATTGATAGCGCCGCGAAGCGGAAAAATGCGGGAAGAGGAGATAATTTCGTAAAAACGTTTCAACGAAAAACCGCGATCAAGCCACGCCAAAGCGCCACGTCAGCTGGAAACATTGATAAACGTTCATTGTTCTGATTTGTTCATTTTCTCACCTGTCTCCCATCAATATCATGTTTCGTTGATTCGGTATAGGAGACACCTCCATATTGTAACACAATCGGACAGCTTAATTAAGAACGTCTCTGTCGCGTTTCTGTGGTCGGTTTCAAAGCATGCCGTATGCGTTTACTCCAACTGCGCCCAGTTAGATTAATGAGTTCCACTCGGTTCGTCGTTGTTTCTCTTCGGCTGTTCAGATGCACCAGCGTAATTCGAGACGGTGAAACTGAGACGGTTTTCAACGCCGTTTCTTAATGAAGGACGCACAACAAACATCCGCGCATAGATTTATCCAATGAGGAGAATTGATTGGCTGTCTCATTTCGCTTTATTCGTTGGCAAGTCCGAAGGGAAGCATGAAAGCTGAAATTAAGAAATTGCGCTTTGACAATTTTCCCCTCAATTACTCTTGAATTTCTTTTCTACGCAAGAACCGCTGACAGAAAGATTTTATCAAACAACACTTCATGTACATCTGTCATATTCTTGTGCCACTATAATTCATTTCTTAAATCAGATATGCGCATACTGCACAACCGTAGGAGCTTGCGCCATTAAACTATCATTTGTTATGCACCATCAAAGATGCATTATGATCCTGTCGTTTCGCCAGGAACTATGACGTGCAATATCTCGCTGACTGCTCCAGTAGAAACGTTTTTTCACTATTCTTGAAATATCTTGCTATTGAATATCAATATTCATCAGTGAAATATGTCATTGAATGCATACCGTCCCATTATTTCAAACATGACACAATTCAAAAAAATTGAATTTCTCAGAAAATAAAAAAAAATTATTTTCAACTCGACAGAAAAATGTTGATTGATCAAATAATATCGCTAAAAAAAGTATGTTCTCAATACGATAAAATATGATTTGTCAATCATTTTACAATTCACATTTTCTTGAAAAAAAAAAACCACTCTTTTAGAATAGTAACGTTTTGACTTTCAATTTTTTTGAAATTAAATTAGTTTATTTTCAATAATCGATAGAATAATTTTTATCTAATTCATTTTTAATAATAATTTAAAATCACATTTTTTTAAGTTGTGTAATTATGGAGTAAAAAAACGATACCTTAATTTTAAGTATACTAAGATATCCATATTTTATTAATATTTTTAATAATAACAATATGATTTATTATTATATATTTAATTTGTTTTTTTTATATAGTAAATTTCTAAATTAATATTTTCAACACTGAATCTCTTTGAATTTTAAATTAAAGTTAAATTCATATCTAAATATTCATATATCATTATTTTTTCTCCAAGTAAACAAAAATATTTTCGACGCACATAGACATACAATGATAACGTAATATGAGAGCAGGTATAATTTCACACAAAAACACGTTTCGACTGTAACAGTTAAAGTGTTATTGCAAGAGTTTCTTTAGGAAGAATCCAAAGGTTAAGTTTAGATTGGATGTTAAATAAATGAGAAATATAAGGGCAGCGATGGAACAAAATTGGACGGAATGAAATCACCCTGGCGTTAGATTAAAGCAGTAAAGCGAATATCATTCGACATTCGTCGTCTTCCCACCGGGCATTTTGGACACATTGAGGGTGCATTGAAGTGTCCACAATATAATTGGTCTCTTGGAGAATATCGGCTGTGACGTTTTATCTGGTGAAAGAAATAAAATGCGCCGTTGCTTTAATTGTATTTCTTATTTGAGGAAACAATTTAATATAAAATAAAATAATTGCAGAATTGTTCGCAATCTTTAAAAAATGTTACTTTTTCAAAATTTTTTTATATTTATCATCATAATATATACCATTATATTACAATTTTAGCGAAATGTAATAACTTTGATAAACGAACATTAATCGAATGTTATAGTTAAATTTATAAACAATTTAATTTTCATAATAAAAAAACAATGGATTAAACTATAAAATAATCAAAATAAAGTTATCATATAGATATCAATATATATTGTCATTTTTATTCAACGTTCGATTTGTATATTTTAGAAAAGCGGAAAGCCGAATTACAAACTCAACTTGCTTCGGAGGAGGAGAAATCTTCCTGGGTTATCACCCAATGGCGACGTAAGTTATTCGATTTTGAGCAAAAGTTGCCGGAACATTCGTCAATCGAGAAGAGAAGAATACTTTTGGAGGAGGACGAATTGCTGGCGAACGTACTTGCGGACGAAGTCGAGGAAGCCAGAAGGGAAATGCGTGCTTGGCAGGAGAGAATCGCGTTGGGCAAACGTGACTCCTGGCGGCCACGAACGATCGAGGTTATACATGAGAAACCAGAAGGAAAAAAGAAGAAAGTCGGGAACGGCGACGTCGAGTCGCCTGTGCGAAACGTGGAGGAGGGAAGAAGGGATTTTCGGCAGCTCGCAGAAACGAGCTCGAAATGGAAGTCCGCGATCGGGGACAAGACTTTGCAAGCGCGTGGAAAAAGAGAGGCGACGAAGCTCGACTCGCATCTCGAAAAGTGCGCTCAGGAAGAAACGCATCCAACGTTATCCGCATACATTGAATCAACGGAAACGGTAACAACGGTATCGACGAAACACAGTGAGGGCAGCGATCAATAATTTCACTTACTCGTGATATTTTGATGATTGACACAAAATTTATTTGATTAATGATATTGAAAATTTCGACTGCGAGAACGGAGTTGAAATTGCGACCCGGAAAAATTAGCAGTTGAAAAATTTCAGAGCGTAGCAGAAATCCGATTAATTAATTAATTCAATGTGACAACACAATTTTAATTTTAATTATTTCACAATGCGAGAACTGTACTGGTGAACTGATTGTTGAGCTCTGACAAGTATATATACGTGTCTTGAAATTTCAGAAAAATCTAGAAAATTGCATTCTCAAAGTATACTTGCAAAGCAATAACTTAGTTTAAGTGTTTCTTGAGATATCTCAAAAGCTTGAGTAAGAGAAATTACAAAGTTGTCCATTTTGTCGTAGCTGTATGAAAAGACGAAGCATGATCTCCAAGAAGTTTGTGAAAAAGAAGTTGGTAGAGGGTACTTCATATTTGAATAGAATCGCAAGACTTTCAACGTGGTGCTTCGCATAGAGAGAAACGGATCAAATAGAACGGACGAGTGATGCAAGGTATACTCACGTATACGTACAAACGAAAAAGCGAGAGATTGAACATTTTAACTGAAAGCTGGGAGTTTTAAAAATAAAATAAAAGCGCAAATGAAAGAGTCGAGCTCTTCGTAATGACGCGCTAATGATTCTACACCAACGCGAACGGTGAATATTATATATACGAGAGAGAGGGACTTTCTACCTCCGGTCGAAATTCTGTTCGGGCGATTCTGTAGAACTGAAGTGGTAGCAACGAGGCTCGGAGAGAGGCCGAAACTTAAGACGGTAAATTGCCGAAATTACCGTGAGGATCAAAGGGGCCTGCCATTAAAGTTTCCGCCCGATTAATCGATCGCGCGGCACATCTCGAAGAGCCAGGACGAAGGCGCAGGTGTGCGGGATAGAGGTATTATATCGGAATTACGGTTGTGCGATTCGCGAAGACTTCGAGATGAATCTCGCCGAATTGGAAATAAGACTAGCGTGTTCTCGAGGGTTGTGGTAAAGAAAAAAAGTTCTCTGAAACAGAGGGATGGAGTTTAAAAATTCAAGCGGGTACGCTCGTTGCTTAATCCGCGACAAGCGTTCCATAAAGTTTGCAGCGCATCTGAAACGCGGGCGGATTAAGCCAATATAAATTAAATTATGGAAATCGTTCTGGCGCACTGACTGCAGAATCGAATTTTCACTTCGCGATATACAAGACTTTGAGAGCAGATAAAAAGGAATATTTTTTTAATCTTCACTTTTTGTAGCGGAGTATTTCAAACAATTAAATCTTCATTAATTGTACATTTATCTAAAAAAAAAAAAATGTATATACTTGCATCTTGTTAAAATGTTATGCATGGAACATTGCAAAACTCGATTCAAATGCTGACTTCGTTAATTAACACTCTCTAGAAATATAAAGAATTTAAACAAGCAAATGCAATAAAATAACATTCCATTGTTAAATGAAAATAAAACTGCATACCATAAACATAAATCAAAGAGCGATGTAAAATTTCAACGAGCTTTCCTAGAAAAGCTTCACGAAGAAATACGCTAGTCAGGAGATCAATTAATCAGTGCCGAGATCGCGAGAGTTTTCCACACGGAGGACAAGCGAAATCTCGAATATGCATTTCGTGCGAAATTGGCGAATTGCAAGGTTCGGCTCTTTGCCCGACACAAGGGAGGAAAGTTCGGAGTGAAGAGTTAAGGATGGAAAGTTGAGTGGAGCCGAAGCAAATGGATGGCGTACCGCGCTCATGGAAGAGTCATGAGACTATTCCCCGCCACTCGTGTCTTACGGAAAACTTGCGTTCTCGTACGGAAAAGCCGCGCGACCTGATTGAAAGGATTCGCGTAGAGTAGCTCGGCTCGTGAATTCCCGCAGCGCGGTGCACACTCAACCGGAAAACGTTTTGATGACGACAATACTTTTGTTACAAACGTATATAGAAATTCAATAAGTAAATTTCAGCTGTAGCCGTAAGAATCTTATTCAGAGTTGAAATTATATAGTCTAAAATGGAAAGAGATTTTCGACTTTTCTTGCATTGGACAATACGTTCTTTCATCTTTTGCTTATCAGTATAAAACTTTTGTTCCTGGTTGAAAAGGAAATGGCTTCTGATAATAAACCACGGCTCATTATGCACGTGCAGACTTTAAGAGATAAAAAGTGTTGACAACAAAGACTTCTACAAATGGCCTAGTTTCACAATCGGTTAGCCGGTCTCGTTTAGGTTCTTTATTTGCTCGGTAAATCCTGCTGGAAAACTACAGGTGTAGCGCGGATTAACAAATCGATAGACACTCGAGAAACGTACCGTAACTATCGAGTCTTTCGTGTTGCAACTCGCCACTCCATTTCGGGATAATTCCTGCTGAAACTATACTCGATTTGCAAAATTGTTGTAAAATGCAGCAATAATAAAACAAACTGTAGAAATTTTGAGAATTGTAAATGTATAGAATTTTTATACAATTTATGTAAATGTAAAAATATATTATATATTTACTTTTGTATACGATGTATTGATAAAACAATTTGCCTTAAAAATTTATTGGACGCTTTTAATAAATACTAATTTAATAAAAGATAATTTGTCTCTTTTTTGAAATATTTTACTGCTGTATATATCATATATATGATCTCACTGCAACTCCATTATTTCAAAAAGATACAGCGCGCGGAAGGTATACAATTTTTTAACAATCGTACATATGTGTTAGTTCTGTAGATTGTAGCAACGTTAGCGACGTGATGCATGAATCTGAAAACAATACGAATCTTCGCCTCCATTGATGATTGTTGATCGAACGTGGTCGGTGCGGAAGCTAACAAACGGATATGGCCATTAGCTGATGAGGGCATCGTAGTTCATTGAGCCCTATGAGATCGGAAATTACAATGTATGAGGAGAAAAAGCTAGTTGAAAAGGAACATCGGGAAAACAACAGATCCTTTCAAATGCTAAACGACCTATCGTGAAAGTGTAATTATGTTGCATATTTATAGTCACGAAGGAACTCAGCTAAACACTTCTTTTGAAATGTAGTACAAGTCGAATGAATAAACCCCAAGAGTCCATTAGATATTTGTTATGTTTAATTTATTGTACCTAATTGTGAGCAATTTAAATAATAAACCTAAAATTTTACCTCGCACGATATTAAAATTAAGTAATTCAAAAAATTCATTTCCTATGCTTTTTTTGAACAACCGAGGAACATTTTTTTTCTGTGACTAATCTCACGCATCTTGATATCTTAATTTTTATTTTTATCTTCCTCTAAAATTTTCAAAGCAAATCTCACTGTATGAAGTGAAATCTCACTCCATACAGTGAGATTTCACTCAATAATCTTAAAGATTAAAAATTAAATCATTTTCTTTTTCAAAACTCAATTTTCACTCTTTAGAATGAAATTTTACATAAAAAATTTAAAGAGTTAACTTATTTGTTGCTATGCTTTATACATATAATTAATATTATCCAATTGTGATATTAGCAATTTGACGTTGCTAAACACAGTACCGTATGTGACAAAAAATGTATTATACATAAATTACCATAATACAATACTTTCGTTAACTAAAAAATATCAGTATACGTGTTTCACCGCATTATGCAGTAAATGTTTAATGTTTTTTATTTCAATTTAAAAAAAATTTAGTAAACTGATTAACACTTAAATCTGGACGCTCATATATTCATGTATGTGCAAGTAGTATATTATTTCGTATAGAAACTCGTAAACTATTAAAGCTGTATCTATATACGATCAATATTATTGATATATTTCGTGTAAATAATACTGATATCGGTAGATATAATATTAATATCAATATAAACACGATCAATAATTGTAATTGCGTAACATGAAGTTACTGCAATTTCACCGATCGCTTAGGAATTGCTTTGCAGAATTGAGGATTTATTTTTATATAACAAAATTTTATAGTTTTCAATAAATTAAAAATAAATAATTCTGGTCGTTAAGCCAAAGAAATAACGACAAATTGAAACGCTAGGATAAAAGAAGATAAAATTATTTTTATTTAAACAATTTTACATAAAAAATTTAATTAGATCTATTAAAAATCTCATTATATTGTATTTAAAGAAAATTTTTAAAAAATTAGAATGTTTATCTGAAAAACAACAACCATTTTGCGGAACTTATTATATTTTTTGATCACGCGAGCAATCTTTCACGTAGTAGACGTGACAAGCATGATGCTGGGTGCACATCAGAGAGTAAGGAACGATCGTATTGTTAAGATGAAGTAGTTACATCAGCGATTCTCGATGAACCAAGTATTAATATAAGAAAAGCAAAAATCTTGATAACAACCTTCACCGACCAGTGTTTTTCGTTCATTCAATCAGTTTGATCGGAAAAACGAAAGATTCGTATAAATTAAATCAAATAAATTTGATAGCGGAAAAAATACACGATCAATAAAGATGTGTGAGAAAATCTAAAATTCCTTAATTTTTTATTTTTTGTCTCTAAATTCGTGTTTTAATTAAAAAATATAATTTCTTAAACTGTTTTGAAAAAAAGAATATATTTGATTATGCAACGGAAAATGCGTCTAAAAATATATTTGTACAAAATACATTGTTTTTATGGAATGAGAAATATCTTGAAAAATTAATTTTTTTCGGATAACAAGATGCAAAGTTTAATTAAATCTGTAAAACTATAATTAACAAACAATATTTTGTTTGACCATACCAAAATTTGAATTTTGTCAAAACTAAATAAAATTATTTCCAAGAAAATTTGTTTTATTTATTATAGCTTCCTTAAAAATTATACTACACACACACACACACACACACACACACACACACACACACACACACACACACACACACATGCACGCACACGCACACGCACACGCACAAAATAAATTTGCGAAAATATATAAAAATTCAGTTAGATACAGAAAATAATTTCGTTTCTGGATCATCAAAAT